AAATTTTTTGTTGAACTACTCATAGATAAAAGATTAGTATGTAGTCTAGGAACTTGTAGAACAAAGGGTTAAGTAATGGTGTTAGTCACTCTAACCAACCCCTTTCCTGCAATGGGAACATGGGAACCATCTGTCATAAAGGCTCTATCTCTACCAAAACACAACTGATATGGAGAAAATAAAGTAGATACATTGGTCATATGCTTAGAGGCTATTGAGTCTATAATCCAGGGAGGTCCCTCTTTATCTGACGTGGAGTAAAAGAGATGGTATGGCCAATTCCTAAACTGCCTACACCCTATTGTGTACCTTGGTGAAGAATTGGAACTGCATCTCTCTGACTCATAAACTACCCATATTTTACAATTTCAACCTTGGTTGTCATTGTTACAATAGACTCCAAGGAAGCTGGAGTAAGTGATCCTAATGAGTCTCCAATGATTATCTCGTTTGCATTTCCCTTCTTGTTCTTGATACCAGCTGGTATAAGATGAAGATGGAGCTTCCAATAAGTGTCTTTGGTATGCTTAAGTTTCTTACAATAATCACACACAATGTCTTTTTTATCCTCCTGTTTATTCTTGCCACCACCCTTATCTCATCATAACATTCCTCTTGGTCTCCCCTCTAGACACAAAGGCATATGTCTGAGAGAGAATCACACTCTCACAGAAAAGGATATGTTGCTATGCAATGTCAAACTTAGGGTTAAGTTCAGCCAAAGATTAAAATACCTTTTTCTTTTCTACCAACTTTTGATAGGTAGCAATATCCTTGGTACTCTCCCATGCTACAGTCTCCAAATGCTCTATCTCTTGCCACAAAGTTTTCAAAGTAGAAAGATATACTACAGGAGGTTTATCTCCTTGTCTTGTACTAATTATATGATATTTCAATCGATAGGCTCACAACATTCTTATTCTATGAATAAATCTCTACTACTCTATTCCATCCCAAATCTCCTTAGCAGTATTTGCTTATAGGAAATTTTTGCTAATATGAGGTAGCATAGAATTACATAGTTAAGTCATTACCATGTCATTCTTGTACCCACCAAGAGGAATTTTCTCAAGTTTTTTCTCCTCATCAATAATATATCCTTATTTTCCACGTGCACCAATAGCCATATTGGCTGATTGTGCCCATTCCATATAGTTTGTACCGTCAAATATAATAGTAGTGATAGTACTAGATCCCAAAAGATCACTGGCACCTCCCACAACCAGTCTAAGGTCACTGGTCGATTTCTGTTCAACTTCACTACCCTCCATAGCTTCTCAAACAGCTTGAAACACCAATAAAAGATGAAAAATAGCTTCTAGGATCAGATGCCTAAAAACTCTTCTGAAAACAAAAAACACTTACCTGGAGAGATTTATCCTTTCTCAGGAACTGATAGAAGTAAGACAATGTTAAGGGCCCACGAATAGGATCTCGTCACAGGTCGGTTAACGGGGAAAACTTCTTGTTTTCCCTTGTTTCTCCMTTTTCTCGAGGARCCTATCTTTAGCGCCTTTATGGTGATTTGTTAAAGAGATCACCAACTCTCCTYTGCTCTTTCTTDACTGAAATTCTGGATGGATTTATTGAATAACATCTGCTCCTTAAATAGGAATTACAAGAGTCATTCTTAAGGAAACTTTCTAAAAACGAACTTTCTAAAAAACATTAAGAGACTTTCTAAAAGAAACATTAAGAAACTTTCTAAAAGACCTAGAAAATAATAATGTTACTGCCTAATTAATAGGAACACTGAATCTAGCTAAGAGATAAGATAGGAACACTGAATCTAACGCCCATTACTGCTGCTGTCTGCGGTTGTATTCCTTTCCAACTAAAGCATCCACAATATTACTCCCTTCTTGGACTAAGAGCTTGTCCTCAAGCTCGAATTTAGGATAGGTGTCTTGAAACACAGTCAAAGGAATCCAGGATAGGTGGAATGATTTTGCCCTCCTGGATCGGGTTCCAATGAAGAGGGTTCATCCTCATCTTCCTCTTGTTCCACCAGGAGGCAGAAAAGTCTCTTGCACTTGTGCCTTGCTAAGTAAAGTTCATCACAATTAAAACACTGTCCCCTCGCCCTGCGTTCCGCCATCTCAGCCCTGGACAAGCGCTTAATAGGGGGTGCAACAATGCTGCTTCCCACACTGGATGCCGGTCTGAAATTGTTGCTTGTCTGTGGTTTCTGTTCTTGGCTGGCTGCTGAAGATGGAGCCATTCCGAGTGGTTTCGGGGCTGCCCATGTTGTTTGAGGCCGCCCTATACTGATACTTCCGCGGTTGAGTTGCAATTTGCGTCCAAAAGCGCAAGCCAAATTCATAGCAATAACCAGATTGGGGGGATTTTGCATCTCCACATCCACCCTCAAAGTTTCCGCTAATCCCGCGGTGAACATGTCAACCTGTTGGTCTGGTCGTACTGAAGATGCTCTTGTAAGGAGGGTCTGAAACTGGCGCTGATACTCAGCCACAGTTCCTGTCTGTTTGAGGTTGATTAGTTCGCCTAATGGATTGCTTGTTAATGGGGGCCCGAATCTGAGAAGGCAGTAGGATTTGAATTGGGTCCAACTGAGCCCNGTTTGAGGTTGATTAGTTCGCCTAATGGATTGCTTGTTAATGGGGGCCCGAATCTGAGAAGGCAGTAGGATTTGAATTGGGTCCAACTGAGCCCAAGTTCCTCCTGCTCCAATATATAAAACCAGAGCTGCGCCTCCTCTGTCATTGGCTCCAAGGTAGGCTTAGCCGCATTCCACATGACAGAGGAGGCACAGCTCTGGTTTTATATATTGGAGCAGGAGGAATTTGGGCTTAGTTGGACCCAATTCAAATCCTATGCCTTCTCAGATTCAGGCCCCCATTAACAAGCAATCCATTAGGCGAACTAATCAACCTCAAACAGACAGGAACTGTGGCTGAGTATCAGCGCCAGTTTCAGACCCTCCTT